TTGACATACAATTTTCTAGCTTAAACGTATATCGTTACTCAAATCATCAGTAATCAAATCAGTGAGCAAGCAAAACTGTACATTTAATAACGAGAAGTTCCAGAAACTAAATTTTCTGGTGTTGAACGACGAAACGACTCATTCAGTGGCGTAATTCGACCATAATTCAAAAGTGACGATCCATAAGATCGGTTTCCTGTAGCAGAGGCAAACGAATCTACCATCATTTGGCATTGTCGATAAACTTCACTGGCATTTGAAGCCGTATTTTTATGCAATTTGAAGACGTACAGAACTGCGATAAACACAGATATGCCGGTGACCAACAAAACTAAATTTTCATTAAAAATATTGATATTCTAATCTAATTTTAATCTAATTACATTACGTTGTCATTGTGGTTAAAAAAAAAAAAACACACACAGTACTGCTAAACACATTACCGACTGCAGCGACCATATAAATCCAATAATAATCGTCGATAACAGCAGAATCTGCAATTTGCTTACTGTCAGCAGCATTCACTTTGGAATCACGACTTGGTCGTTCCACTTCTTTCTCTTCCTCAGAAACAGACAATTTACTTATTAGGTTTTTCATAGCTGAGCCTTCCTGAAATTGTTTTCTGATTAATATGAACATTAAACAAAGCGACACTATATTGTAATATAATCTAGCACGATATATATTAATCATAGTTTTTTAATTGTAAAATCACCTTGATAACCTCGGAAAGCAACTTTTTTATGTTTGTCAAATACAAAATTTTGAGATCTGCAGGAATCTTGGAAAAATCTGGAACTTCTCCCGCTGCTACTGCTTGCAAAAAGTCTGGAGGAATATTTTTAATGTCATAATTTGGAGGCAATAGTAGCTGTAAAATATTAAGACGCTGTGCTGAGGAGTCGTACTGTGGTAATTTGACGGTACTGTCTGATGCCAAATTTGAGAGATTAGGCGCAGAAGTTGGGATAACCCGCTGTAATCTAAACTTATTTAGCAGAAGAACAAAATATTTTATTTATTCAACTCATCACTTGGTTTTTAAGTCACCAAAGCGCTGATAAAAAGTGAAGAACTGTGGTTTCAGTGTCAAATAAGCAAAGCGTTTCAATTATTATAAAACAAAGAAAAAAATTAGAATTGATCATTCAACTACGTTAACCTTCAAAGATTTGCATTTGAAATTGTATGACATCGGTTTCAAAAACAAAAAAAGTTAACAACAATAAGATAAAAAAAGTTACAGTAGAAATTTTTGTGTACACTAATTCAGTCTTTAAAAGATAAATTTGTTTTAAGAAACGTCTGCTATCCATTACATTCAACTGGTCTTAGAATAATAACAGTCTTTTACAAATGCTTACTTCTATATTCTTGACGCTAGTCAACTTCCTGTTAACATTATGGTTCATCACCTGGACAGGACTTTTTGGTAATTCTTTAAAGCCTCCAAGAATTGTTTGAAATGAACTATTACGTCCACTGCTCTTCTGTTGAGTTGAAGTTTCTCAAAAAAAAAGTAAAAAAATGTAGCTTTTAAAACTGTAGACTTAACTTTATTATTTATACAACATGGAAAATTTCTTACTTTCATATACCACGTTCTTTTTTGCATTGCCATCATTATACAGTTTTATATCAGTGCAATTGATCTGTTCTTCTGATGCAGTTATCCCATTTCGTTTCAGATAAGTTAAAAACCATCTCATGTTTTCATCACATCGCAACGGATTGTCTACATATAATAATCGTAAAAAAAAATCAAGTGCATTATGTAATCATGAGATTTAAAGTGTTGTTTAAAATGTTCTTGACAAGCTCTAGAATCTGTCTAGACAAACAGTCAACATACTGACTTTAAAATAAAACTTACTGGAAATTATTATGTATGGAATTTTGTAGGTGAATGTGTCTTTTTCAATTGTGGAAATGTTGTTGTCAGATAAGTCTAACCAACTGAGACTGGTTATTGGATAAAATAGATGCTTTGGAATATGACTCAAACGATTATGCGACAAATCAAGTATTTTCAGCTTTGGTATACTTTGAAATGTTCCATTAGCAATTTTCGTTAGATAGTTATCGCGAACATACAATTCCTGTAACTCTTTAACTCCTTTGAATGCATTCTCATCTGAAAATAAAAAAAAAAAGGTTTTACGAACGTATATAAATTTCTATGTTCAATACTTAATTATAAACTTGTTTCAAAGAAAAGAAAAGAACTAATCTTAATTAATACATAGAAATATAATCGTATAATGCAGTAGAAAAACGTAATATTAGTTTATAAAAATATTACCCAAATACGTCAGCGAATTGTTTGATAACAGAAGGCTACTCAGTTGATCCAATGCAATAAAGCTGTTTTCTGCCAGAACTTCAATTCTATTATTCTATAAAACTGTGTGTCATTAATACTGTGTGAAATAACAGCTAAAAATGACGAACAAATTCAATAGACACTTAATTATTTATATGATATATATCATAGAAAAAAAAATATTTATTACGTGAGAAAAATAATATTTTGTTTTTTTAGAAACTAAGTTTACAACTAATGTCTTTAATCATACTGTTTAGCTCAGTAGTCAATTAGCAACTAATTATTATTATTATATAAAGAAAAAAGCCACATCTTGATTACAACTTCAAATTTCATTTGTAATAAACGTCAGCTAATTTTGAAAAAAAAAACTAATAAATGCCATTTAAATTTTATGAGCAAATTAAGCAAAACAGTTTGCCACTTAGTATGCTCAAAAAGTTGCTTCATTATGAAATGTGCTAAGAGCAGACCTAAATCTTAAAAAAGGATAACAAAAATGAGGCACAAAGACTCACTTGTAAATCGATGACTTGTAAAGCTTTATTAAAACTAAATGATGCTTCGGTGATAGAAGTCAAGCGATTAGAACTAAGGTTTAAATGATGTAAATGTTGAAGTCCTTTTATTCGCGGTACCTCAATAGCAACATTACATTCATATTACCAATTAATTTCTCTTTTCAAAGCAGGCCACTGCTCGTGTATATGACAACAAAGAAAAAAAAAAACAAGACAATACCTTTGATAAAAAGTTGTTGGAAAGATCGAGAAATTTAAGGATTGCAAAATTGTTGGTAAAATCAGTTTGTAATTCACTTAATCGGTTGTTCTGTAGGTGAAGATGTTGCAATAGTGGCATTTTTTTAAGAGCCAAAGGGTCGATTTCACTAATCTGATTATCGTTTAAACGTAATTCCTACAAACTGCTTTATAATAACATAGCACTTAGATGCATCTAATAACAGAAAAACTTTGACACAAAAAAAGGAAAATCTTACAATTAGCTTTGGTACAAATCGTAAATCTAAATAGCCGATGCGATTCAAATGATTTTCGGATAGATCAAGATATTTTAGATTATCGGCAATTGAAATCCCCTGTGTTGGTATTTCTGTTAATTCATTTCCGCTTAAATCTACTAGTTCAAGTGTGGTTTTACTGCCAACTAATGCATCGCTGTAACAGACTGGACTTCATTAATCAGAATTGATAATAAGTAAACTATTAAAAAGTCATAAACTTTTTAGCTTCTAGTTAAAGTGCTACTTTCAAGCCTATTGTTAAAATCACATAGACTGGTCTCCTCTACTAAATAAATTTTTTATTAACATAAGAGAACTGAAACATTCTCAGACAGTTAGGTATGTGTGACTTTTTATACTTATAATTATACAAAAATCTTCCTACAACCAAAAAAAAAGCCATAAATGACAGAGCCAAACAGCCAAACCTAAAGTATTAAATGTTAATAGCTAAAATAATGCTAACATTCTTCGTCTTAGTAACTTTAGTAAGACCGACAGCAACTACAAAAACTGTCTGATTTTCTTTACTGTATCCCAACAGTTATAATTTTTGTATAACTTTAAATTCGCACTTTTTCTGGTATTATATCTTTCAGCTATAAACTTATTCGCTTTTTTATAATTTTCTCATCTTAGTTTATCTATTTTTCGTTTTTGTTACTCTTTTTTGCTTTCTAATAAAAAAAAGAGAAAAAGCAGAATTTAATTAGCATAAGTTAATCAATTAAAAAATTAGAAAAAAATTATTGCCTGCTAATATTAACAATTTTGTTGCCCTCTAAACGAAAATCTCGCAAATTTCTGATTCCTTTCAATGCATCATCGTCAACAGTTTTTATCTGTAATGAGCACTTTAATAAGTTCAACAAATTGGTTGAGACAATGCTAAAATTAAAGTATAGAAAAAAAGATATGCAGAAAGAATTATGTCAAAATAATTTGATGCACTGTCAAAGGGTACTGTTACCAAAAAAATTTTACTTGATTATAATTTAAATTTAATGAGCGAAGTTTAAACAATGTTCCCAAATGATAAACGCTATCTAATGAGTTATTGCTAAGTGTCAATTCTTCCAGTGTTTCGGCAATTGGATCAAATGCTTTCGGTTCAATGTCCTGCACACCACAGCCTATTATTCGTAAAGCTCGAATTTTAGATGGTATAACCTGAGTAATAACCTGAAAAATATGTCGTAGGCTTCTGTATGAGAAAAAATAAAAAATAAAATCAACAGTTTATTTGAAAATTCAGACAGCAAATCTTATCTTAAGAACTTTGTTGCTTACAAAATTTTGTAAAAAAAAAAACGGTCAAGGCTACAACTCAAAACAGCAATAATCTAAAACTTTGCTTTTTTAAGTCAGAAACCAATCATTTCAGTTAATCTTATTATTTAAAATTTTTGATAAAAAAAATTTTTTTTGAATTTTTTTTAAAAATAGTGACGTAAAATCAAAAAAAAGTGAAAGTTATCAAAGTATAAACTCTGCCTTTTTATCTTTGTTTCCCCTAAAACCTATTGAAAACTGTTAGTCATTTAGGGTAAGCAACTTTAACACATCTTTTTTGAAACATTTATTCTCAGCATCTGTAGCATAATGTAACATAGAGAATCAGAATAAACTAATCCAAAATAAACAGCAAGTTATACTGCACTAACGAAACAAGCCAGAAAAAAAGAAAACTAGCTTAAATTAAAATACAATTTTTTTTCAAAATCTGAATACAAAGCAGTAAAACGTGTATTCAAAAAAACTCAGTAATTTTTTTT